ATACTTAATGTTATTGAATGAATGAAAAAATTCACCTCTTACCGTTTAAGCTGTCCCCTTCATTAATGTGGGATGACGGGGCTGAACGAGGCTTTAAACAGTAAAAGCTGGCGTGCTTCCATCAACCTCATTAACTTGTAACAGATTTGTTGATCAAGTGTTTTCTCGTCTCTATTTGGCTCATTTCAATGGATTAAATGGGCAGAATCAACTCCTCCACAGATAAATAAATAAATAAACCAAACATTTCTGATGTGCACAAACAATGATGAAAATGTTATAACTATGTGCAGCATCCGCATAGGAAAATGTAATCGAATACTCTGGCAAATGCTTGAGCCTTTTAACGAGTTGTCCAAAGGGTATTTCTCAATTCCAGTTTATAGGAGAGAAGAATAAAGACACTTTGATGGTGAAAAGCTATGCAATAACTTTTACTGCCTTAGAAACTGAATACATTGCACCATGTCCAATGATTTACTCAGTTAATAATTCTCAGAATATTAGGGTTGTGTCATGTTGTTTTCAGGAGGAAGACAAAAGGATATAATGTTCTTTATTGTGTATATCATCCCATGCCGTTGCAAGATCAATCAAACTTTAGGGATAAGCCCGAGAACATGACGTACAGAACCTGAGACACAGTTAAATTATCATTGCATGTTGATGCAGTTGAAAGTTCAGAGTGATTCAAAGACCTTGCATTGCTCCACCATAAAATAATTCATAAGGAGCCATGTTTATTCCCTTTTTATTCTTTGGTTTGAAGATGCTGCATCAAGTTTCCGGTCCCTGCAAGTTGTTTTGAATATTACAGAAGAACCACAGGCAAGATGTGTTTGTCTGGAAGGGAGGACGTTACCTTCTGAAAGCATCATTGTTTTCCCCAGAGGGCATTAAAGACATGTGCAGTCACCCCATCCTGGAGTTGTCACTGCCTCATCTAGATATTTAGCCGGATATTGAGCTTTTGTCAGTGACTTCCCGAACTCGTCAGTGACTGGAAACTCAGGCTAAAAACTCTGTGGCGTGAACTAGGCCTTACTTGGTTTGAATTATACACTGTGATACTAGGTCATTGATACACTGGCAGGTATCTTGTGTAAAATTTGTTTATTATAGTGATGTAACTCATTCTGTTCTTTTATTGCCTTGAATGTTTTATAGCTTTTCATAGTAGTCTTTGTTATAGTGGTTTAGTTTTTACTATAAACTGCCTTAGTAGGCTTTTGTATTTATGTGTTTGATGTGAAAGTGACTAACAGTAGTAAAGTCTGGCAGACAACCAATTTGACTCCTCTGGGGCAATTGAGACAGGTTGGATTGAAGCTGGAATCCCAGTAAGTTTGTCATGTTATCATGTAGGAGGAACAGGGGCAGATAAAAGATGTTATCGCTTTTATAAGCTGTTATCATCCAAAGCCAAGCCTTCCTCACAGCCTCAAAGAAAGAAGAGATTGTTGTGTCAGAGCCAATCCACTGTTACTCACAAAGTTAAAGTCAAATGAAAATAAACTGGTAAAGAGATGGTTCACAGTCAGAAAACACAACCGATCATTGCTAAACTTGGTGTTAGGATCAGTTTTTTGAACAAATGAATGAGTTACTCCACCGAGGAGGTTGCAGTATGTCTGGATTTCTGTTTGTTACTGAACTGATTTTATTGAAACCAACAAAGATCCATTACGTTTGGTCCGAACTCAGGGGTGGATCAAATAATCTTTATCACTCTCTTTAACTTTGCGTCTTTCTTTTATTTGACAATTTTATCGATTCCCAATATTTAAGTGCTTATATTTTACTATACACCACTTCTTTGAGTTTGGAAAAGCATTAAATAAATGCAGTCCATTTAACAGTAATTTGCATTGCACTGCAGTGACATGCAGGTATTAATCCACAACCTGATTATTGTTGATTAGTTCATTAACGTGGTTCCTGGCAGCTTGCAACCACAGAACCCTCCTCTATGAACAACGTACGTCAGTTTTCCTGCTGGACTGAGATTGTGTTCAAAATATCGTAGGTGACACATTACATCTGTTCTCCACACATACTTTATTTAGAATTGGAACCTTTGCGATACATAGTCATTTGATTAGACATGGGTCATTGTATATGGGATTCAATCAACGAATACACACAGTGAATACAACAAACAAGTGGTTTCAGCTATATCATGTTGTATGTTGGTGCCCCCTTCCATTGTTAAGCAAAATTACTGACACAAATACAAATCACAAGTTATACTCCAAATATATTGAGTAAAATACCGATTATTTCTGATCTCCCTAGACCAGAGTTTTGAGAGTAAGCAAACTGACCAACAGGGTAACCAGCGAAGTCAGCTGGCCTGGGGCACAGGCTCTTTCAATTGTGCCTGCAAGAGAAGAATCCAAATTTTAAAACATGAATTTAATCAAGCTCAAGCTTTGTGTCATCTAAAACAATGCAAAAGTTGTGAAAAGATAACCGACCTTGAACATTTCTTTTTCCCAACAGGTGTAGGGGTCCTACTGACAGGAATGAAGTGTCATGGAAGGATACGTCCCTCTCAACTCGCCTGTGGTGACCCGGGTAGCAGTGCTGCAAGAAAACAACATTAGAGGCTTATTCTAATTCCCCTGTTGATAGTGAATCTATTCCATATACTTCATGTAAAGATGCACAATGTGTCTGCATTTCTTCCCACTGTACAGAAATGGAGCTTAAACATTCTGAATACAGGATGCTGCCGCAATCTGGCATAGCATCAAATAGCTAATTAACACCTGAAAACATCTTGTCAGTAGGAGTTTATGACCTGTCCTTTAGCCAGCCACCATATATAAGTACAGTGGCACTCACAGCTGTGCAGTTGTTGTGTCTCAGAAGACACAGGTGAACTCGGCAGTGCAGGTAAATGGAAGAAAAGTTGGAAAACGTGAACATCCTGAAGGAGAAACGAGCCACAGTGGAGTTGCCATTCTGAACCAGCTCCACTGTCCCATCCTCTTGATTAGGACACCTGAAAGTCAGGGAAGGCAACATTGTAAAAAAGAGAAATGGTAGACCAAGTGAAGAGAAGACATTTTTTTCATACTTTAGCAATCAAGAGTAAGAAATCATTATGTTCAGACAAAAAAGTTGCAATAGTTCCATTACTCTTCACTGATGAGATCCCAGCGAACAGGGTAGGTGTCAAGGTTGACTGGCGTTGCCCAACAAGAGTCCACAACAGTGGAGATCTGCCGTTGATCGACTCCTTCTGTTCGCACCTCCACATACAATCTCTCGTCAATTTCCACATCAAGAGTCCTGTTGCTGGTGAAGGGGAAGCGGAAGCCAGCGTCCTGGTAGGGGATCAGTCTCATATGATACTGCCCTTGGCCAACTGGAAGCTTCTTCCTCACAACGCTATGAAGAAAACAACATATAATACAACTACACTTTAGAAGGAATCGATTGACAGGTATGTGTTAACTTTAAATGCATTTAAAATTCACCTGTTTATTTAATATAAATGGTGGGTGATGCGAGTAATTACACAAGGATTCCCTTCACTGTTTAATATAATTATTTTTGAAATACGTATCAATTCACCCTCTAGCAGCATCATATCATGAAATCGATATAATACAACATATAGAGGAAATGGGACTGTCACCTCTCTAGAGGATTAATGCCCACATCCATAGACACGGCCTGAGTCAGAGGGTAAATACAGCAGAAACGCAGATGGATGTTCCTCTGGCGGCTGATTAGTCCATCATGAGGATCCACATCGCCCTGGATGGTATTCTCATACATGAAATGGCTTCCATTGCTCTACAAATTGAAAAGACAAAGCGGTATTAGTTGTTGGAAATAAATGATCTGAAATGAATTTCTGTATGAACTGATAACAGAACAGTGACTGTACCCTGAGAACCGTCCCGCAGAGCTGCTCGTTATTGTTGAACTCGAACACCAGTCGGCCATTCTGTAGAGTACCGATACAGGACTCCTCTTTGAGATGGAGGGCGTCAGAGTGGAAGCCAGCTTCAAAGAGCTGACAGCGGGACACGGACATGGTGCCTGAACTACTGACACAAGTGATGGACGAGTCTATGAAAGAGAGTTAGAAATAAAAATGTGTCTCTTTAGTTTTTCATTAGTTAATCTCATGATTAAAAGCAGTACTAATTCATATTTACTACAGCTTAAATTACTCAAAATTACTTGTATGTGTAGTTTTTTTTTAACCGTAATGCTTCCAGATAGTTGAAGTTAAAATCTACCTTTGAGTTTATCTACTCAGGCTTCAAAGAATTTCATCTCGTTTGGAGTCGTATGAGCTAGTATAATGCATTAAGGCGGTAAAAATGTTCATCTGTTCTGTAATGTCAGTAAGAACGCCTCTGTCAACAGTCTTTTAAGAAGCCTCACCATAGCTCTCATTATTGGGCCGATGGTGGTGTTCATCACAGAAGCAGCCGTAAACCCCGTCCTTCTCACCACACCACTCATATTCTGTGCAGTTCAGCTCCTCACAGGGGTCGGATGTGGCTGTGGAAATTGTGAGGAAAGGGTGAGATAAAAAGTAATGAAACGGAATAAGTAAAAGTGGTACAAGTGGCTTGCTCTAATAACCTATTGTCTTATTTTTAACCTTGGCTATCAATTAGCATAGTTTAACATTACCACAATGCAAAGCCGGGCGCCACTCAGAAATGTTCAACCCCAAAACCGAGCAGGTTCTCTCATAAGCTGAGATGGCAGAACACAGCATGCCATTGGCTGGGGTGTAGAGGCAGAGATCATAGACACAGGAACTGAAAAATGGCTGAGGGTCAGAGTGTAAGTGACAGTCGCTGAATGGGCCGCTGGTGTTGGTGATGATGCTGCACAGCTCAGAATATTCTTCCCTATAGATGCAGTTGTTCAATCCATCATCGTCCCATTCATCCGTTGATCCACATCTAGAAAAGACATCATACATATTCACTCTTGAAGTGACTTACTTTGCAACATTGTTCTCTGTAATATTTCTACAATCCACCGTTTGACCTAAATAATTGAAAACATATGAGGTCCTGGTGAAGCTGAGAATGATCATATTTATTGTAAACTGACAATGATAATTTGGTGGTGGAATATCCTACATAAATTCATTTCATAGCATCTCACCCTGATTGGCTTGTAGGTGCCTTCCAACTGTGTCCAAACGCATTGTCATTTTGTGCCAGGGTACCATTGGGCGTGACTTTGTCATCTGCGGGATCATTGTTGAAATTTCCACACATCCCAGTCACTTTGTTTTGATGGTCTTGGCCAACTCTGACCAGTAAGGTACTTCTGCCGTCAAACTGGACCACCAGGTCGGTGGCTTTGACCACTATGTAGCTTCCCTGCCTCACAATTTGAGCTAAAGCTCCTGTGGTGGTTGGAAGAGAAACCACACTTCCATTTACCTGGAGGGATGAGAGACAGACAGACAGTGAAGAAGAACTTGCTTACAACAGACAGATATAGTGACATGTTCATTCTTAGAGTAATCACAGGCTTACCGTTACTCTTTTGTTCGGTCCAATCCTCAGATTCACTCTCTGTGTTTGGTTTGAGAGGAATACATCCACTGCTGACACAAATGACACGCGGTTGTTGCCACGGTGATTATTGGTGGCAGCTACTAGGAATTGCGTTCCACTGGTACCGTTGCCCACACTCTCAGAGATGATGTACGAGCAAGTGCCCTGGAAATGAGCCAGTGCCCCATCAAATGTGATGTAGTGGGGATCCCCCCACACGGTGCAAGTGGACATTGCATCGAAGCAGCCCAGTTTGCCATTTCTGATGATGCACTCTTGCGCAGGTGTGCAGGATTCAGCAGAGCAGCGCAGATCGTTTGGAGCATGACATCTACATCGCTGGGAGCAACCGTCTGTCCAGAAGGACTCACCCGCCTGCAACATGGGAGTTAAAGAGATGAAAAATTCCCCAAAAACATTTGTGCATTTTCTACTCTAACAACACAAAAAACACTGCTGAGAAGAATAGAATGGCAGAATTAAATCATTTGCATCCCATCTTATATAGCATACATTAATTTGCTGTAACAATAGCTACCTAGCTAAGCTCAATTTTACGTTCATTATGTATGTATGTCACAAGTATGTATTCTGATAATAATCTGATGACAGACAAAGCAACTGTTGTAGTGTTTTTTTGTTTTTTAATAAGCTCTTGACCAATGGCCAGATGTGCAAAGACTGAAATATTTGCGGAACTCATCTGATGGGGACTATTCAATATTCTACTGATTAAAAATATGTATAAGAAAATCTTGTTTTATTCATTTACATTTCTATGACTTACATTATAGTAGAAGCCGTCATATTGGCAGCCACAGCTTTCCACCGGGACACACCTCGCCCCACTCCTGAGGAACCCCTCATCACAGAAACATCCCTCAGAGCAAACCTGATCACAGGTGGCATCAATGCTGCTAGCACAGGTGTGGCCACAGTCGGTACCACAAAGCTCATAATGGCTGTTAGCTGGACAGTTGAGTCCTTAATGAGTCAGGAAAGAAAAGATGGCTTTTAGATGGTTCTAGTAGATTTAAAAATCAAAATACAGTCGTCCAGTCAGTTGCTCGTAATGCATTGATGGTTGACTCACTGCAGGTGGTGTTCTGTCTCCAAGGATAGATTCGAACATTAGCAGACTGACAGGCACTGACATAAGCTTGAATGGCCCTGCACAGAAGATCTTGACCCGCACTTCCCGACACACAAACGTCAAACACACAGTCGTTGAAATATGGTGCCGGGTCCACTTGCTCATGGCAGAAGCTTAAGGGGCCGTCCGCTGCTTGAATGACTTCACACTGAGCTCTAGCAGGGCCCTCATTGATACACCGAGGGCAGGAGGAACCACAGCCATCACTGCAGGTGTAGTTTCCTGGCACCTTCCAAGCTGTTCCAAACTGATTTGGAGAGGTGACTATAGCTCCAGATGGGGTGCGGAAGTCATCACTTTGATTTCCATTAAAGTTTCCACAAAGTCCACATGTTTTTCCGCTGTAATGATGATGATGAATAGGGAAAATTCAGTGCCATTTATCAGATACAATCGATCAATCAAACTTTACTTCTGTTGCCCCTTTAATGTAGGTAAGTGCAATACAAAGACAAAAACTACACCTAAATATCTAAATGCTACTGGGAAAAAACATCCTGGTTCGTTTGTTGAAAATGTTTCAGAAAAGTACAGCAGCATAGGCTGGTGCAAGACAATGGATTACTTAATTCTAAAATCAATGTGAAAACAATAACGACAAGCAATCAACACTAGGATTCCAAACCTGTAATTTGATGGCACAGAGATGTACACTGTGCTCCATCCATCGTATGAGACACTGAGGCCAAAATCAGCATTGATAAATGTGCGTGATCCACTTGCAAAGACAGACACATTTCCACTCAACAGAATTGGCAGATTGTTAATTATTCCATTTACCTAAAACATTGGGGGAAAAAATTGCATGAACAAGTTATATATTTATATATATATATTCGTACTTAAAATGTGTTGGATACTTGTGACCTAGATTCAGTTGCCAGTACTTTATGGTGATCAAAGTACAGTATGTAAAGCTAAAATTTGTAAAACTACCTCAAAATCATCTTAAATCTTTCTTATGCAATTGTGTTACCAGTTACACAACTTTGCAAAGAGAATATTTGCGGTAAGACAGATCTCAGACAGATCTGGGACTTTAAAAATTTATAATTTCTCTGAATAAATATGTTAGTAATGTTTCAAACATTGTTCGCCTCACCTCTACCACACCTCTGTTGTGCCTGGACACACGCAGTCTGTAACCCAATACATTCACAAAAACTTCAGCTGTGATTGAAACTGGCAACCCATGCCACGGCTCGTTCTTAGCCTCAACTGAAAATTGGTGAAGTCCATCAGTGTCATTACAAAGGGTTGCTAGAACATAGCGGCAGGTTCCCTGGAAGTCGTAGGCCTTGCGATCAAATGTGAGGTAATGGGGGTCTCCAGAGGCAGAGCAGGTGCCATGAGGGTTGGGATGGCAGCCAAACTCACCCCCCACCACACGGCAGGACTCCTGGGGACCACAGGAGTTGGGAATACAGTGCACCATCCCAGTTGTTCCATTACAGGTACATGAGCTCTGACATTCTTCACTGTCCCAGAACTGTTCACCACCTTGCCGATAGCGTCCATTGTGATGGCATCCGCAGGATGTTGGTGGCACACACTGGTTGCCGTTGAGGACAAAACCATCCTCACACTGGCAACCCTCCTGGCACACAGTGTCACAGGTGAATGGGAAAGAGAGGCTGGGGCAAGTAGAGGGACAAGCGGTTTCACAAAGCTCATAACGGCTGTTAATAGGGCAGGTTTGCTCTAAAGGAAAACAAACAGGTTGATAGAAAAAGGTCATTAAACAGTTTGATACCATATTTAAAGTTAACACCACAGGAGGGAAAGTGCTTACCACAGCCAGTTGCGTTCCTCCAGTGTCGCAGGGCTACGCCCTTCTGTTGACATATTAGTGCATAATCCCGTAGGACCTCACACAGTGTGGATGCTGGATCACTAGAGGCTCCCAGGATCTCCATACAGACTTGCACATGCGGCCTTGGGTCTACTGTGGCCCAACACTGGGTAAACGGGCCATCTCTTGAGCCAATGATTCCACAGTACTCAGTGGAATTGTAATTTGTTGAAGAATCATTATTTGCACTCTCTACACAATGGGCAGCGAGGGAGCCGTCTCGCCAGCTGTCTCCAAAGACTTGGGAGCTGTTGACCAGAATGCCATTGGGTGTGCGTAAGTCATCATGTGAGTGACCATTGTAGTTACCACAGAGTCCACCCAGTGAACCATTGTAGACACCAGGTGCAGTGACTCGCACAAAGTGAGGCCAGACTGTCTGCACGGTCACACCAAAGGAGGTGCGAATGATGATACTGTGAATGCTGCTGTGGTAGATTTGGATTCGGTTGGATGCTGAGCTGAAAGGTAATCTGATCTGCTGACCGTCCACCTAGAGAGCCATTTAAACAGCCAGAGTCAGACATGCTGATAAAAAAAGTATTTATTTGTTTGGACCTTCTTTCTGTAATATACTTAATTATCTTACCTGAACTGTGCTGCTGTTTGCCATCTCAATGGAGACTTGTGTTCCCTCTGCCTCAAACTTAAGCAACCTGGCAAACCCACGGTGGCCTCTGGGTGCTTTTTCTGCTGTCACCATAAAGTGGGTGTGAGCAGACAATCCCATCACTTTAGCAAGTGTCAGTCGACACGCCCCAGGATACTGGTACRTCAGTCCATCAAATGTTTGATATGACCCTGGTCCCCTTATCCAGCATGTTGCATAGCTGTTAGGTCTACACCCTCTTTGTCCCTCCTCCACCCTGCATGACTCAAGGGGACTACAACTATGTGAGCGACATGTCATGCGGCCATAACTGCAGCTACAACGTCTCCCACAGTTATTGTCTAGTATCACAGTTTCTCCAGAGCGGTAGTAACGACCCTCAAAGCTGCAGCCACAGCTAGCATGAGGGACACAGACCCCACCACTGAGGATGTAGCCTGAATCGCAGATGCAGCTCTCCTGGGCAGGGAGAGGGCAGTTGTGCGTGGAATTGGGATTGACACAGGTAGCTGGACATCCTGTGCCTTGGGACTCAAAGTGGCTGTTGGCTGGGCAGGGAATTTCTAGACAAAAGCATAAAATAGATATTGACCTCATGAAACTAGTGAAATTATGTTTTAACATAATGTTGAATGAGTGACAGACTTACCACAGAATCCTGGTCTCCTCCAGCTTTGCAGCCGGATACCATTCTGCTGACACTGACTTGCATAAACATGTAGGGCTTGACACAGAATGGGCTGGTACCCTCCTCCTACACAGAGATCATACACACAATTCTCCACAAAGGTCTGTGGGGGAAACTGTCCATGGCAAGCAGCAAAAGGTCCCGACCTGATCTGGAGGATACCACAATTGCCTGCATTGCTGTATAAAGCTGTCTGCTGTTCAGTGCAGGCAGCACAGTCCAGACCTCTGCATCGGATCCCACATCCACGCTCATCATCTCCTGGTGCTTGCCAGCTGTTGGCAAATACCACATCAGAGCTCACAATTTCCCCTTGACGAGTTTGAAAGTCATCCCTGGGGTCATTGTTGAGGTTTCCACATAAGCCACAGGTTGCGTTGTGGTAAGTGGTGGGTACGCTGATCCTGACATAATGATATGCATCGTAAGAAACCACCAAGCCAAAGTCAGTACTGATGACCAGAGAGAAACCTGACTGGTAAACCTGGACAGAACCATTGCTAAGGGAGAATGGAGTAGCAGTATAACTTCCATTGACCTATAAGCACAGAAACAGGCAAATACATCATTGTTAACAATACAGAATACATAAAAATACTATATAAACAGGGTGTGCAGTTGTTTTGAGGTTGACGCTCTATTGCTTACCTTCGCCTCACCACGATGTCCTTTGACAAGCTCGATAGTTTCATTGTTCACGAACACTTTAACCAGTCGTGTCCAAGAGACTCGTGTACTGCCCCGATGCTCGTTCTTGCCCTCTACTCGGTAGTAGGGCAGCCCACGTCCACATTGTTCTGAGAGAACATAAGTGCAGGTACCTTGAAAGTGAAACACTTTCCCATCGAAGGTGTAGTAATGTGGATCACCACTTATGGTGCAGGTACGTCTCTGCACTGTCTGGCAGGAGAACTTAAATGAAGCCCGACGGCAGATTTGTGAAAAGGAGCAGGGTTGCCTGTGACACTGCACGCCTGCTCTGGTGCAGGTGCATTTCTGTGCGCAGGTTCTGTCACTCCAGAATGAGTCTCCGAGCTGCACAGATTCACCTTTGAGGGAAATAAAAAAAAAAGGTTCTTTGAAAGACTTCGGCTTCTGTTACTTTTTAACCATTTACATTTTTAACTTTGTGGAGGGCAATTTTGCCTTTTTTTTCAGAGCAAAAGGTAGAGTGGTGACACAAAAGAATGAGAGAGGATGAATGGTTTGTGCATGTTCATGGTCAGTGTTTTAATCTTGTAGGACACCAAGATGCCCTAACAATTTGACTTTCAGAAATACTTAATCATAAATTCATCTTTACAAATCCCCACATTCCCTGTGTAATAGCTGTCGGCTTTGTGCAGCATATAAAACCTTCATCAATGGCTAATTTACTGATCACATATCCACATTACATTAAGAAGTATCAATAGCAATCACCCTCTGGTTCTGGTCTTACCATTAAACCTGCAGCCTCTTTGTCCATGGTCTAACCGGTAAGCCCAGCGACCAGCTACGTTGACGTTGCTGTTCAGTCTGAAAACTGAGCTACTGCCTGTTGCATTTGCATTGAATGATCCTGGCATGCTGAGATGGTGAGCAGAACCGACTGTGTCATATCCAGCCTGGAAATATATGTTGCACAGACACAATGAAATGTTTGATTTGTTTCTATTTCTTCACTACCATTTCTGCGAGTGCAGCATGGGAACCTGTTTTGCAGTTGTTTTTATTTGTAGGCACTAACCTGTACATTGCGGCCTGTTGCTGCTATTTGACCATAGTTCATCAACACAAATGAGTAACTGCCGCCAGAGATCAAGACTGCTTGCACTGTGGTTTGCTGTAAAAAATGAATTGTTTTTTAGTTATTAATAGAACACGCATACACGATGAAATCAAGTATTTCCCCAACAAAAAAAGCTCACTTACTGTGCCAGTATTTGAATAGTAGGCAACCTCATACCATGTAGCAACAAAGACCCAGTTGGCATTAAAGCGCAGTGTTGGGAAGTAGGTATTAATGTCCCGTGTAGCTTGTTGGAGGACACTGCCACTGGTATACTGTTTGTAGTAGATCTGACCATTTCTTCTGTTATCCAAATCTGTCCAGAATGGAGCAATTAAATCTCTGGATCCATGTAATGGAAACCGTTGAGCTGTGTAATGACTCCATGAAGCATTAAAGGTCAGGTGTCCATTGTGGTTCACCTGGAAACACATCAAACATAATTAGTAGATGTTGATCACAGACAACCATACAAATGTCAACATATTTATTCACATAAATCATGTAAAATGTTTTATGTTTATGTTTGAACACATACTATTTGCTTCTCTGAATTATTTTGTCTATTTATCTGTCACAACTAAGATGTCAATTAGAAGGGATTATCTAACCAGTAGATGCAAATCTGAATTATCCGCATAGCATATAAGAAAAAATCTTCAAAATATATGACTATAGTCTGCAAAAAACATTTTTACATACATAAATCTGATTATATGACGTTCCAAAGTAGACAAAGGTTCGTTGCAGGGGAATTCGAGGTGAACTTCCGTCATCTGATCGAGAGCTTGCTGTTCCATTAATTGGGTAAAGGGGACCTGTATAAAGAATGAAAGAAGTGACATTAAAAAAATAGAACGGCCATATAGCTGTTATTAGCATATAGAATTTCTAGATCATTACACCTGAACATTAATATCCTTATTTGATCCTACTTGCAGAAACCCTGTACTTTCACAACTATACTCTTTTAACAAAAGGGCAAATTAATTGAGACATGACTTCAAGGTTCAGTGGGTAGAATTTAGTGACATCTAGTGGTGAATTTGCATGTTGCAGATAAATGCCCCTTTCCTCAAAAGGTGTTGAGTTTGTCCATTTTGGACTACTGAAAAAAACATGACAACCCCCGTATTTTTATATTAAATTTCTGCCAATAGATCCCTTCCACCTAAATCTGACACACTGAATCTTTAACATGAGATGCAACGAAACATATTTTAAGGCTACTCACTCTTATTAACAAACTCGGCAGTGGTAATAGATGCAATCCAGTGGTAAAGGGTAAAACCCTGGTAATACCTGCTTTGAGCTGACTGACCTGAATGTGTGACTATCATCTGAAGAGAATGAACGAAGAAAAAACTAAGAGCTTATTCAAACTTTAACTTACTTGCAGTCTGAGGATCCACCGAACCTAATAAAGCAAACATATAGATAGAATTAGAAATAAAAAGTTGACTTGTAAATCAGTCAATATAGATCAGTCAATGAATTAAAAAATTTTTTTTCAAAATACTTACTCATCATCCCCAGGAGCAGCACAGGCCACAGGATTTGACGGGCCATTTTTGAAGCCTCAAAAATGAAACCTGCTGATCAAATATGATCCATCAAGATTCATGGAGAAAAAAAACAAAACTAGAAATTACACAGGAAGCACATACCCCGCAAGAGTGCAACACCCTGTATATTTGTGTTATGTTTTAAATGGCAAATAAATGAAACGCATATCAATATAGACATGTTTATGACATGTCTAGCAATATTAAAAACAATTTGAAATTTGATCTATTTGAAAAAAAAGAAACTGTGTCTGTTATATTCTGCTCACTGGCTTTCAGGAATGACCCCCGATGTGACTGAGGTAATAATGAAAGTGAACAATAAAGTGGCGATGTCAGAGGACGATAAACAAACATTGATTCATTAGATTAAAATTGTTATCATTGCAGTCATCATGGAACAGTAAAGTTAAATTTCTCATTAAATACAGATTGAAATACAGTTTTTAACTAAATACAATCATGCAACATCCCATTTTAGAAAAAAAATTTCAATCATACAAAATAAATGAATTACCTGTTCAATGTATGCTGCAGTTGTTCTAGTACCTCTCATCAATGTCAGACAGCTGGAAGTGTCCATGCTTTATATGGTGAAAGCTGGCACAGCTCCATGAAGCTGTGGTTTGACCTGTTTGCAGGTGCTTTAATCAGGTAAAATCTCATCGCTTCCTCATAACAACTAAACTAAACATTCAATTGTCTAAAGAGTTTGGTGCAGATTACCTGCAGAAACCAATAGAGGGAGATTTAACAAGGGATGTATCAACTTTCTATCCCACAGAGTTAAATCTGAGAATATGCTGTTTTGTTCATCAGATGTGTTTCAATTAAAAAATGTATTATTTTCCCAGAAGATAGTTTTGGTTTTGTTTAATCTTTTGAGATTTCTGCCTCCGCCACAGTACAATGCAAATTAATGGAATTTATTTTTGAGAAAATTTTATGGAAAAAAAATAATTCAACTTTCCTGAATCAAAGTCTTTATGGTTGAGGATCATGTGCACAATGGGAATAATTTTATAGGGTTTACTGATTTGGTTGTTAAAATTTCCAGGCAAACTGATTCCTTTTGAGTATGAAGATGTTTCCGTCACTTTCACCACAAAGACTGGATTGTTTTAACTTTGAACTATTCATGGGGCAGCAGAGCTTCAGAAATGTTCAACAACTGCTCATGGCACAGATTTGGTTATGGACGGTGGGGACACGTGTCTACCAGTGACACAGTGTTGCTGGATTGCCCTTAATAAATTACCCCATTTCATTTTATGTTACCAGTCTATGCAGCAATTTTGAGTTGCCATATATATGTTTTCTGCAAATAGTTGCTTCTTATGCTGAGGTGGAAAGTTGGGATGAAGTCAACACTTCACATTGCATTATGCATTATCATGGTGTCAAAGAGCCATAGTGTAACCACAGCTGAAATATTTCCTGCATGTGGAATGCCTGCCTCTCCTTGTCCATGGGTGGATCAAGAGCATAGTTTTCGGTGCATGTCGATCACAAAGACATGAGCATCAGATGCTAGGGAATTTATTTTGACATGATAATGAGTTTTAGTATCGCTGGTCATCACAACCTCAAGGTTTCATTTTCTTTTCTAGAAAAATAAAATAAAAAGTCCAGTTTCTGGTGAAATCTTTAACTTGTTATTTTGGCCATCTTTGGGTGTTGATGATGTTACTAACACACGATGGACGCAAAACTGAAAGAAAAAACTAAAAAGAATATAAATTAATAAAACAAGCCAGTGACAAAGACGAGATCGGTGAGTTATGACTGTCGGGGTGAGATGTGAGGCTGGTCTGTTTTCCTACTTGATTATTTTTTAGGGTTCAAGATTTAAGTCTAGCTTAACTTTTATTATGTTTCATTAAGTTTTCGGGTTTTCTGTCTGTGGTTAAGATATTTCTAGAACTCCTTCAGCGAATTTCTTCAAATCTGGTGCATATGTTCACCCAATGATAAACTAAATTGATTTTGGAAAGTAAAAGGTCTGACTGCCGACCTCATGTTCTATGAGCGGTTATTGTTATTAGAGGAGAGATGGAGCAGCCGGGTGCCGCAGACGGAGACAGAAAGATACACGTATAAACACCACTGCCGAGATCACATGATAATGTTCACATAAACCCAACAACCTCATCAGCTCTTCTCAAACTAAAATATTTGAGGTGTGTATCAGGCCGACATGCGGAAACTTTGGCACACGAAAAAATATAAATACATCCTCATATAAAAATTCCATTCAAGTCACACAGATTAAGTAGGGGTGTGACTGCATTTTAATTAAGTGAACTAATACTGGCAGCTTCTTCAAGGTCAGTAACTCTGTAATAGCCATTTTAATAGCCCATTGTAATACCAACAGTTAATTCCTCTACACGTCTCTAAAAGTTACGTCTTAACAGCCTAGTTAAAGGTACAGTGTTTTGTGATATCTAGTGTTGAAGTTGCATGTTGCAGCTAAACACCCCTCACCTCACCCTCTCCTCCCAAACATGAAAAAGAACCTGTGGTAAACTTCAGTTGTCATAAAAACTCAAAAGGTGTTTAGTTTGTCCAGTCTGGCCTAATGTAAAGAACATGGCGGCCTCCGTAGAGAGGGTCCCCTCCATGTAAATATAGAGTGTTTGAATATAAATGGCTTTTTCTGGGGAAAAGAAAACTACAATTCATACAATTGAGATGAAATGAACTAGTGAAAACATCATGACGATTATTCTACATGCCAATAGTTCCTTTTCACCTAAATCTTACACACTGGACCTTTAAGTTTTGCTGATTCTCTTACGTCCTAGTTTTGCAAACAGAACTTAGAATTAATTTAATATACACTTTATCTTTAGCAGTTACTCTTCACATTTTAAATGATTAACATTGGTCTTTGCCCCAGTGACAGAGAGTGGCATTATGTTTTCTCATGGTGCGTCCACCCTTCTAAACATATCTCAACAACTCCTCGACAGAATCAATTCAAATTTGACACAAATGTTCACTGAAACTCAAAGACTAACTGGTTAGATCTCAGTGCTCAGAGGTCATAGTTACCTCATTATCCTGAATACAATTTGTCAGGAACAGAGGTGGGATGTGACAAAGGGTAAGTATGTTGTTAATGTACTGAAGTAGATTTTTAATCATAAAAATATATGTACTTTCTACTTCTGACATTTTCAAAACTTTATTTTATTTTGCATCATCCAGCACCCGCCTTCCCAACATCAAGACATATTTGAACTTAAATGGACAAGAACACAGAAATGTTTCCTTGTTGAGTTTCTATCCCAACTTACGGAACACAGTGTAAAAGATTTATCCAGACGAAGCAGACGAGGGGGAGACTCAAACGCAGAGAAAGGCACAGTGCATATTCAAGGAGTGACAACATGGAAGAAAGGGAAGTAGCTGACATGTCAACAATGTCCACAACGAAGTACAGACACAAAACATTCCCCATCTCTGCCCATATTTAAATGAAGAATATTCAATTCACTATATTGTACAGGTTTCCTCCAGGACTATTTTTCATGCTCACAAATATTTTCTTGCTTTAATTCCTGTTTTTTGACTTAGAACTTTATCAAAGTGACATGAGTTTGACTCTGCTCTGCACAGATACAGATAGAAATGACTTTCAGAGGGGGACTTTTTAATGTTATACTCTGAGTACATTTCAGAGTTTCTTGAGTAGCTTTTAACACAAGTATCTGTACTTCTACCTGAGTACTTTCACCACCACTGGTCGGGAACACCCAGAAGGACTGAAAGTTAGCTCTAGTTTGTGCATACTTCATAATTTGCTTTAAAGCTCATCTTGACAATCAGCAGAATGAGGTGATAGGCGGAACAAAAGGGTATACCACAACTGGAACAATAGCGATGGAATGACAATCCGGCAGGAGTGGATTATAGGCACGCAACCCTCTGTTTGTCTTCTTCAAATCTGTCCAGAAACACTGAGAGATGTTTAATCATGGTTTAAATCACCGACTGTAGAAGCAGGTAAAACCAGTGTCGGTTTTTATCTCAGGGTTTCCAGTATAAACCTTTGCGGTGGTAAGGGTAATTACAGCAAACTTACAAGGAAGTAAAATAAAAACCCGATGATTACATACTGTATCAACAGAAACAAAAACTGTGGTTTAACACTTGATTAACTGATAGATAATGTTCAAAAGCTGCCTGGTTGGTATCGGCAGTTTGTTTGTCCTCCGCTAATGATGGTTACAGCTTTCTTTCTGAATGTGTAACAGTGACCTGCAGCAATTGAGCCACGGCGAGTGAAGACCTGTGACAGAAACCTGAGGCCACCGCTGCAAAACAAAGATCAGTTCACCTGTGTTCGGTGAAGCTCAAATCATGAGGCTGAATTGGTGGTTATTGTTGCCATTGTCACGAACATGCTGTTGTGGTAATGGGCTGTTGTCGTGTTAAATGTCACTTATGTCGAAGACTCCCAGCTGCTGCTAAACAGCACTGGTCGCCTGTTTATTCAAAGTCTATTAATATCAATCATATCGTGATTCCAAATTACACCAATTTCCACACTGAGCTTTCTTGGGCCCTTAACAATTCACACAGTGAGAAGCAGTTAAGATGAAATGCTCTCAAGATATGCCGGCTAAATACAGCCAGATATTTTGGGAATTGTTAGATAGATGTCAACAATGGTATCTGTCATTTGCTTTGTCCACGCCAACATCACGTTTTTAGAAGAATTCAAACACAGTCTGAAACAGAGACAGTGTCTAAAATGAAGCATTCTGTTGGCAAGTAAGTAATCAAATCTTTCACTCCAACAAAACTTGTGATTAAATTAATATATCCTTTCAAACATTACACGATCGACACAATGCAGCTGAGTCACTTCAATTACATATCGCCAATGAAATATAATGACTGTGCCAAAAAAACAAGCTTCTCCTCTCCTACGATGATTTATTATAAATGTGACCCTGTTGCTTCTGCACCTGCATGATTAACATTTCATAAGATGCTCTTTTGAAACCCATGGCTCTTTGATCCATGGTGGAAGAAGCCAAACAAAGGTGGCACCTTTCAGAGGCCTGTAAACACTAATTACTGATGGAAGATTTATGCAGAGGAGGTTCACATGGGTGTATTAGAAAATTATACTTATGCACATAACTTCTACCAACTGCGGGCAGATGTTTGCTCAGTCAAAGTGAGAGTTTTGGGTCTTTGTTTGAGATCCGTTTTGAAAGAGGCTGTAGAAAATATTTGGACTGGAAGAAAGTGTTAACAAGTGTGTAAGAGAAGACGTCGACTGTGGCACAGGAAATGATTTTAAACTTTGATAGCGTGAGACTGATAAGAGTTTGTATGTTATCTGCCTTCAGATCTATATGCGTGTGTAAAGTTTAGTCTGACCCCATGGTAGTGCGGAATACTTGTCTGTTTTTTATTTCACATCCTTCTTACTGCAGGCATCAGGATCGGTCCGCTGGGCTCACCGTCCACTCCTCGGAAAGTTTCTCTCTGGAATCTCTGAAATCTTCTCCTGGGGCTCTGAGAGCTCCTCTGAAGGACTTCATAAAAACCTGACCAAAGAATAAAGTCAAGATAAAGTAAACTTAATGCTAACTCCATGAGCATTTCTGATGGGAGCATAAAGGTTATTCAATCAACTCAACACTGCAACGCCCATGTTATTGGGTTTGAGCGACCAGACTGCCAGTGTAAACAGTAAAAATGATCTTTAACCACAGTTTGAATGTCTGTCTAAATGTCACAAACCAATAATTTGACACACTCCATGAACCTGTTGCCAAGTATGTTATGTTACGTTACTGTAGAACCAGTTCACAGCTTCATATCTCGGAGTTCTGGCATTTGATTGAGTACATGGGTAACTTTTTCTAGAGGAAACACGTAAGTCATGCTAGAAACCTCACGTGGTAGCTCCGTAGCACACATACACACCTATGTGAACGACAGATGTGCGTGAGAAGGAGCATATCAGAGAAGCAGCCGTGAATCCAGTTTGTCCCAGGCATTAGTTCCAACCCTCTTCACTGAAGCGAAAACATTTTGTTATTTTAAAAAGGTGACAGATGTTCCACCTCAGTCACGAAGTTACCTTTTGTTTTCAAGAATTCTACCATAGGATCTTCTGAAGCTTGACATACAGACAGTGGAGGCCATGAACAAGGGTGAGGTGATAGATCTGTGTCACCTCTCAATGATTTTTTGTAATAATAATAATATAATAATAATATTTAATATGAGCAAGTTATAAGTGATGTAATGAAAAATTTACTTTGTCTTTAATTTCATAAAACACACACATTTATTATATATATATATATATATAAAATTCAATTTCATTATATTAATGTGTGAAGATCAAATAAATCGTCCAGAATTCATTTTAATTAAATTTTGTCATTTTTCTGCGCCAATGACCTTTACCGTAAAGCTACAAATAGACGCGCATCGGTTTTCAAAGTGCGACTGGCCTGACCGGGGGTTCGAAACGATGCCACCACGTGACCGCAGCGACTTTACATGCACCCGTTAGCATTTAAGCTAGCGGACATTTATCGCTAACACGTTTAATCACGAGGCAGTTAGCATCCCCAGTTAGCTACAAGCTAGAAGTTGACTCAACTCACCTGTGAAAGAGCACACGAGTTTTAAAAATGGCGTCTGACCTCAGTGCTGTTGTTTTTAATCCACTCGTGACGTGATACTGTTAAAACAAACACGCAAACACAGAAGGAACTTGAAATAACTCACTCCATGGTTTAACCGAGTTTCTTTTCACTATGATAACTCGGCTGTCATCAGGTGTTCAGGTAAAAATGGTGCTTTGACCTTTCACCTCCAGCATCTAACTCACCTGTCCAAGAGGATTGATTGGCTAAGGTGAAAAGTGAACTTGACTTTATTGGCTGTTTCCGCACTTGTCGACAGAAACACATCCTCCTAACGAGGTGGCCTTGGCTAGCATACTTTGTAAAGTTTGTCTCTATGGTGGCCGAGAGAACTCATCGACTGCAGATTAAGAAAAAACACATGCAAATAGAAACAACACAAGCAAATTGCGAAAACGACACTGGAGAAGTTCCATCACCACTGAGGAGTAGCCGACTTCAATAACTCCTGATAAATAAAAAATAAAGCTGAACTACTAACCATCTTAAACATGTCAAATTCAAATGTATTGGATTTAATTAATCTTTTATTGCTAATTTAACTTCTGGGCTACAACTGCCAAAGGTCCGTTCGATACAAGGAAAGGGGCCTCTGGTTTTGAATAAATGACATTTGATCGCGTATCAATCGAATTCCTTACCGTAAACCAGAGCTTAGAAACCGAATCTCTGAGGGAAACAAAACTCTGCAATGTGACCCTGAGCCACGAACAAAGAA